TAAAACCTTAGACCTGTTCAATTACTTTAGAATCTCAGTTGACAAGCCAAGCTATTTTCACCAATACTATCGCAATATTAGTCTGGTGTGATTCACTTACGATTGTGGTCTACTTTTTTCTGAAGATCATATGTTCCTTTTGTCAAAGTGCACTCAGGCTGATTCAATTACTTTATTCCATCAAAGTGAAATTCTAAACTTATTTTTTCTTATTTCCTTTTCCACCATTAGTTTCACTATAATATATATTAAACATAAAGCCAATGTCGGGCATTAGGCTTATCACTTTTATGTTACTTAACTTCAAAATAAATATATTCTCTTTGCTTTTATTTGTAATACCGTGTCTGCTGCTTCCCACTTCTCATGCTATTTATATCTATTACATAGCCATCTGGCCACTTTCTATATTCTTGACACCAATTAGTTATTAACAAAACCCTCTACAATCGTCTGCTTTTAACTCTTAACAAAACTTAAAAATAATGAAATATTCACTCACAAATATAAATTAATCACTAATATTTAAACCAAACAGTTTTATATCATGACAATTTATTCTCCACTTCATGTAGATTTTGGGAGAGAAGAGTAGGCCCTGTGACACAACAATGACCAAATGGCAAGTTATCTCCAGTATATATTTTTGCATGAGGAATCTAAGAAACATAATTAATAGCTCACCTCTTTAGAAAGTTTGGGATGATTGGAGAATGGTGACTGGAGAGAGGCAAAGCCAGTAGGGGGAAGAAATTACAATATGGTGTATGTATGTGACAAAAGATGTTGGGGGTCATCCACATCCCCAATTGCAATATCATATCCAGAGGATGTCAAAGGCTAGATTCAAGAGAAGCCACAATATGATAAACTGGAAAGGGAAGTGACAAAATGAAAGGAGTCTCCCCCACCCCGCTAGAGAAATAGATAAGTCAGATGAGTTGTTTAATTTAACTGTTCAAGAAAGGAGATAAGTCACGAAAAGAAGAATTCAGTGGCAAAACAAGACTATGTTAATTGACTTGAAAAGGAGCAGTGGAAGCAAGATAACAGTGAATTGTCTAAACAGAACAAAGAAGATGATTGGGGTCTGAATAGTTGTATACAGAAGAAATAGAGAAATCATCAAATCACCCTCCTGAACAGCAAGTCTTGGGGAGGAAGAAATAGTCTGAAAATTAAATCAAGGCAAAAACAAAAAACAAATCAAATCAATGTCTCCTGCAAACAAGGAGAAGTAAAAATACTTCATAAGAGAAACAGGTGGCCAAAGGTTTGAATGGAGAACATGTAGGATCTCTGAAAAATACACGGAGATTCCATTGCAGAACTAGAACTGGATAAGGTGAATGAATGATTAGAAAGCTTCGGAATAGGTGCATAAAAACTTGGAAAAGAAAATAAGAATGATAAGGAAAAATGTAGTTGGTCACTAACAAATCCACACTGTAACCAGCAAAAGCCAGATAAAAAAGGTTGAATGACCTGGAGGAATGGTGTGGTGAATGGACCAGTAGTAATAAATCATCCATCTGCTGCAAGAATGGATGACAAACAAAAGTGAGCAATAAAACAGGCAATAAGATGAAAGTGTGGAATATTGTGGCAAAAGATGGAAGTTTGAAGCTGATGTAAACGAGCCTCTGAAATGGTACAGAGAGCCCCAAGATCAACAAGAGTTGACAAAACAGAAGCAGTGAGAAGAACCTGGAAAGGGGTGCAGTGAACTAAAGACAGCACACCCTGAGAAGAAGTGGAAAATTAGAATAAGCATATAAAAGGATAGACCAACCCAGACTCTGGAATTATAACCATGGACGTTTTGTGCAGAGGGGAGTTGTAAATACATTGACAAGAACACTGCTCATGTAAGAAGAAAGCATGTATAGAGACCACTCTGCTTGAAGAATTCTGTCTGAGGAAGACAGCCAATTTGTCACCAGCTTCAAAGCTCCCACAACTTGAAATGCCAACAAATAGATGGTATTGTGAACCCAAAAGTGGAAATTAGAGCAAAAAGTAGGGGTCCTAAGAGTGAATACCTCCCTTTCAGTTGATATAAGAAATAACATTGGAGTTATTTAAATAGATGAAAACAGTATGTTCAGGAAAAAGAGCACTGAAGTGGAAAGGCCACTCCATGGAAGATCAAACAGAAAAAGATAAATGTATCCAAAACTGCACCCTATCCAGCTAGAGGCATCTGTAAACAAGGTGCAAGTCCTGGTAAAGTGGAGGAAAATGGATGCTCATAATTTCGTGGAAATGTTTGAGCCACTATAGTGTGAGGGAATGACGGAGGCAGAGAAATTAGAAAATACAGTGGATCACAGAGTATATTCCATTGGTCTGCCAGAACCTCATGCACAAGAAGAAAAGGAGACAGAGCTCTGGAAACCAGAATCTCCATACCTTGAAATTGTAAAGTAAAAGATACCCCCCCCTCTCCCCCATATACTAAACAATGTGGTAAAGACTACCAAGAGAAACAAATATAGAATGGGAGTCAATACTGACAAAGGAGCCTGAAAGGCCAAACCAAAGGAGAATAGTAGATGATACTCAGGACATGACTATTAAACAAAAAAAAAATATATATATATATCCAAATAGTAGTGGAAATGCATACCCCACCAAGTGCATTTGCCATGTGAATACTATCAGAACTTTGCTGAAAACAGATGTGTGATCCATAAATGACCCAAAGGTCTCCTGCAAAGTGAACCCACAGGTGGACAAAGTGTAAGAACCAAACTAACACAGGACCAAATCTGAGTGGTGGTTCTAGAAACAACTGATCACTGAGCCCATGTTGACTGACCTCATGGAAGTGGGGGTAGGACACAACAGAAAAGAGCCACAGGATGAGAAATTTCCCAAAATGTCTACATGAAGGAAATATTAAATGGAGTTCCCCCGAGATAAAACTGAAGGAATCTAACAGCATAAAACAAGATATCCTAATGAAACAGATCCCAAAATAAAAAGGTATCTTGGGCAACAGATGAAGAAAGACAAGGGAATATATGAAGGTCAGGTTAGTGTGACCTTACCCCAATAAAGCTGTTAAGAAAGTGATGCAGAGCCATTAAATAAAAGAGTAAAGAGGAAGCATGTTAAGAAGTTAATTATGCAAAAGAAGAAAATACTGAGTGTTAAAGTATCACCCAAAGAAAATCCCCAAGCTAGAAGGAGATTCAAGGAAAACGATCACAACCAAAAAAGAAAATTTACTATGAACCATGAACTAACTATGTGACATAGAAAAGGTGATAACACTGGTCATTGTCTGTAAAACTCCAGTTGCTATTAAGTGAAAATAAGACAATTCCTATGAAGGAATATATGGCCTTCAAGAAATTTCCAAAATATGAATACAAGAAAAAAAGTATTCAATAACATCCATGAAACTGAATTCAAGGGAAGTGGTAATATATATGCATTTATGTACATCAATTTATTTTCAAAGTAGGTCTGTTCACAGTACTTAGGCTTTGGTCATTTTAGTATTTATGAAGACTGTGATTAAGTACTGAAACCCAAGCAAGGGGTTAACAATGATGGTGAATAGTCCTGTCAAGAAATCATATTACAGACTTGGTTACATGTCCCAAAATCTCGTAATTTGATTAAGTGTATCTGAAGCTCCAACTGAAAGTTTAAGAATTTGTAAATTTCTTTCTTGAAATAAAAAAAATAAAGATAAGAAAGATAATAATTTGAATGTTTCATCAACAGATTAAAACAATAAATTCCAAATTTCATAATTTGTAAATAAAAAAAAAACTTTACATATCAAAAAAAATGCCAAAGAAAGAACGAGTCTTTATTACACTCAATGTGCTCAAAGGAAGAAATGCGATTAGAAAATGTGTTACCCTCCTATTCATGAAGAGATTTGCTAATGCTCATTGTAGCACAGACTTGCACAGTTAATGCGATTACATGTAGGGAATATGCAATTTTTGAATATACACCAGTGCTTGGAATAAACATGTTCTATTTCACAGTGGTCAATACTTTTGCTATGACATGTGTTACATATGGATGCAACTGACCTTTACCTAGGAAAGGTTAGATTGTTGCCTATTTGATCACAATGTTTTAACTTTATATTGCTAATTAAGCTTTGACAAATCACAGATTGAGTTCCCTTGGAGTTTTCAATTATAACTTAAGTCAAGAATTTTATGAATTGGTTGACAGTATATTGCACTCATGAGCGGACTATGGTAGACTGTGAACAGACAGGAAAACTTCAGTCCAATGTAACTTATCAGATAACAACCAAAGAAGCACTGTTCAAGAGCTTGCTTTATCAACTGTTGATGTGATGTGTCCACCAAATTAAACACAGGTAACAGCATATCCAGTTTTTTTATTCTGGAGGAATCCACTAAAAATGAGCAACACATTCAGAAGAGAATTGTAAACAGCTGAAAGATCAGTATTATACGTAATATAAAAAATTACTTTTTACTTTGTGTATGTTAAAGTTCTGATTTTAGTATGTTTCTATTTTTGTTTCTTAGAAATTCATAATTAATTTAATTTTGTGATCAATAAGCCACTACTTGAGCATTGTAGCACACGTACACTTAATTTTATATTTAGTTTTGTAAGCATTATAACGTTTACTGATAATCTGCCAAATTTCGTTAACATACACTTACTAATTTAAAAGTTACAGGATGGAAACTATAACAAGCATAAAATGGTTATGAAGTCAATCCCAGGAACCTAGCCCATGCTGAAAGTTAGCAAATGTTGAAATAAAAGTTAACTATTCACTTATGTACTTATTTTTTTCCTTTGTTGTTCATATTTAATATATTCTCTACGTAACATTTCCATAATCTGCAATTTTTACAGATACTTTAAACTTACCTGTTGGACATCAGTGTACCTGAATATCACATCAATAAAATTTGAGGTCTAGACTATATTAAAACTTACTTAGTAAAAAAAATGGTTAAGCACAAAATTATGAAATCACTCACCAACAGATTACTGTGTCCTTCACTTTCAAAAATTCTGTAAGTTTCACTTTGATCAGACACTATCTCTAGTCCATTGAAAGACCACTTTATGGTTACAACAGGAAATGAATCAAATACACAGGTTATGTTGACAGGATTATTAATCCATGTCTTCATGATCTCCGATTTAGGTCCAACAATTTTTGGTTTAGCTGTTTACAAACAAAATAAGAAGAAAAAAAAATCAGAGAAAAAGGAAATGCTTTAAATGAATAAAAATTAAGTCAAAGAGTTAAAAACTAGTAATATATGCAAATTAGCAGCTCTGTCATGGTTACATTGTTAATAAGCTTACAAACAATTCAGTAAATTTGTTTAAAAATTTGATAATCTCAGAACACCTATGAAAAATACATTTTCACAAAACTATTTTATTTCGTGGCAAGTTTAAGCTATTATAGTTCCAAAGCTTTGTCGTAGTAGTGAAATAGAAATTAAATTCAAAACTATTTGTGAAACAGAAGAAATGCTCAAATAAAGAATGTTCTTTATGTAAGATTAAATGTACTTGTACAATAATGGAAAGGTGTTTTACTTAATTCATACTGAAATTACAAGCTATCCTGTAAAAGAATGAGACTTAGCCAAGAAAAAAAAAAGTTAATTTTTCTATACTGAAAATTTATTTCCATCCATACTTAACTCAACACACAAGATTAGCTATTCTCGTTCAGTGCTGCCCTCTATATGCGAAGTTTTTCTTTACACATGCCACAAGCCTTGCACACACACCACCCCCCCCCTACTATATTCCAAATTCCATGCAAATTATCATGCATCATCTCTTAACCAATAGTAGCATGACATGCTCATGTGACTCCATCTACGTTCCTCTACCAAACCTTCACCTTGAAGTTTGGCAGAAGGTGTCAGCACTGCAGGATTATGGAAAGGGTGAGAGAAGGCAAGCGCCTATCAGAAATACATTCAGTATAAGAAAATTATAACTTCCAATACAGTACTTACTTCTCCTCACAAGATCAGCTAGAATTCTACACTGAAAAAGAGTGACCAGTGCAAGGGAACAAAAGAAGTACCCCTGAAAGCCTCCAAAAGGATACCCCTGACCATGAGAAATGTAGATCCAAAGATCAGGAGAGCTCAAACCATCATCCCACCACAAAGAAAGATGACATATGTCCATAAAGATTCCAAACAAGCAGTGTAATAGTTACATTACAGAGTATTGGAGGTTTATTTAAGCAATGTTTAAAAGTTTTTTTAATTATAAACTGGGGAAACGTTTGTTAAACTAGCTAACACTTCAAATGTGTGTGTAATTTGCAGTTGAGAGTCAAGTGAGATACGAAGAAAATTTAAAGCTTCATATCTTCAAAATATTACCATACAGAAGTAACAAGCACTTAAGTATCAGTTTTATATGTTTATGTTAAAAGCTATTACTTAAAAACAATTTTGCTAATTTCTTGCCTATTCATTGAACAACAAGATAGGGATGAATACAGGAAACCATACAAAAATCCCTACATAAGTAGACAAATCTTTCCAAGAAAACTTATCTACAACTAAATGTTGAATTTCTTTCACTTTCATGAATTCAGGTTTGAAATAAAAGCATTTAAACTGAATAATACTATACAATCTTACAATAGCTAATTCCCATACACTTGTAACATTGGCTCAGTGGCTATTTATGTAGGGATTTTTTTATATAGTTTTGTGTATTCATCCCGACCTTGTTTCTGTACTTTTTGGCATTGCCATCCCTACAAAATCTTTATGTTTTTCAAAATTTTCGTTATTACTTGTTTCCCCTCTTTTTTAAACAACCAATATTAATGAATAGAAGTTGCTATGTAGGCCAGCAGTTTTAGCTCTACAGGATGAGTTGAACATCTGTTTAAATTTGTGAGATACTATAACTGCTTCCTCACACCACAAGTTAACCTTTATGATGAAAAAAGGAGATATATCTACTTTGATGTTTATAGTCATTTGATGCGACGAACAGATTTACTCCACAGCTTCACAAAAACCTTACCTTCCACTGCAAACAAACAGATTTACCCCATAGTTTCATAAAAACATGTCCTTCTACTGTGACAAGTAGGAATACTCTCACATCCTTGAAAGACATCTGTGAGCAACTCACTGTCAGCTGATAAAGTAAATAGTTCCATAATTTGAGGTTAATTTTATTGAAACAGTTTTTATATGTTATACTTTACACACACACAGATATATAGTATTCTCGATTTTATATACTAATATAAACCAGAGGTTTTATAATGAGGTAGTAAAATGAATGTACAAATCAGTGTTCATCATTTGTCACCCATTTTGTTTGTTCTGCATTCGTGTGTACATCAGGGAATTGCCATAACAGATATAGAAAATATATCATCTCCTTTTCATATTGAAAAAAATAAAATAAGAGCAAATTCATAATTGCATTTTTTGGTGGATAACTGCCACTCACCAAAAGGGTAAAATGCAACATATTGATGTGTAAGTCATCATAGCTTCAAGCATTGGTAAGCTAGCCTTTCTGATGACAGAATTAGAATAACAAGCAAGATACTTGGCTTACGTTACTTGCCTTTTCTCTCTACTTTAGTAATGTTTTTTGGGGAAACTGAAGGTTTTAACAGCTTTTGACAACCTTGAAACCTAAATTAGGTATTTATAAAAGCCTCTTAGATTGTTATAAGTGATTTGAGACTATGATGAGTAATACATAATATGTGGCAGCCATTTTTCCCCATCCCTACATACTAAGCACTGCAGTGCTTAGTAACAACTAAAACATTCATGCTACAACTTACATTCTACTGACAAGTGTCCTGCATTCTCTACACTTCCAGCTACATTTTCTGCAAGGCATAAATACTCTGCATCATCGTCTCTACTAATTTTATTAATGGTCATAGTCAGGATTACAACCTCCTCTTCTTTGATCTTCTCTATGAAGATTCTATCATCCTGAGAGGTGGCATATTTAAAATAGATAAGTAAAATACAAAAAGTACAGATGGATTTGTATGAAATTAAGCAACAACACAAAAAGAACACCAGTAATTCTTCTAAAATCCAACACTGCATTATGAAAATTGAACTGAATATTAAACCATAACATCTTTCTACATGTATTTATTTTATTTTTTTTAATGAGTAAGGTAGTATTCAATTTTGGCTTCAATCTTTTGGCGTATTATAATAGTTTTTAATAGATCATTTACACTGCTAATAATTTTTAAGTACTTATTACTTGCAGTTTCTTCACACTGTGTCCAGGGGTTTGTAAATATTTGAAGGGCTGACAACAAGAATAAACAAAATTATAAGCCATATATGAACACAAATTTATCACTTCTAATTCTCTCATCTTCAACAAATCTTTAATTACTAAGACAGGATTAAAATTGTTAGGAAATTAAACTATCCACAGGTTCCTATTTATTTAGTATTTAAAACTAAGCTTAGTTTGTTTCGTGTGAAAATCTGTATTAACAATTTAAATTGTTTTTAAATAAGAGTTAGAAGTGAAAGACTAGTTAGTGTTCATACATGCATGGTTTATCATTTGTTTGTTCTTGTTTTCAATGGCCTTGTGTCAGTTCAATCACATCATTTAGATCAGATGGAAAAACCTGTAGCTTAAAGTTGTTAATTCTTCAACTTGAAGAATGTGTAGCAATTGAAGTTACAATCTATGAAAATCTACAGATTAAAGAAACTATGCATCAGAAGATTGAAACAAAAAATCAATGCTTATCATTTGTCAACTGAGCTTTTGGCAAATTAAGTTCCATTTGAATTTTGTTGAATCTCAAAATTTGACAAATACATGAGAGTAAAAGAAATGGTAACAGATAACTCATTTTTAAGTATGCAACAACTTCAGTAAGCATGATTAATTTATACATATTGTAAAACCAAATTATAGTGATAAAGAACAAAACAGCAGTTGTTTAAGCAAATTTACTAATTAAGATTTTATATTTCACAGACAATCTTCATTATTCTGCATGATAAAAAAAAGTATTATGGCTGAATATAAACAACGTATTAACTTACAGACTCAATCTGCTGATTTTCTTTCAAGATGGTCAGTTCTGGAGATGGAACACCAGAAGCATGGCACTCCAATAACCCCGTTGTTTCTTCTAATGCAGTTATATTTTCAAACTGTATTATTTTTGGTTTGGCTATAAAGAAAAGTCTGATTAAAATATCTGAAATATATTAATGAAAACAGGAATTGGCTTTAATTAAAATAAAAACACTATGGTGGTTAAACACCAAAAATTTTTCTGAAGATTTATCATGTGAAGCATAATCTATAATGCACTAGAATTAGTGCCTCTCATTATATAATTATTTTACTATTGTTAATTATTTTGTGTTTTTTCTAGAAATATATATTTTTGCTATTTTCCAAAATTTTGTAGCATAGATGAAAAGCAGCAATATTAAAATTTAACATAAGTAGTCAAGTGATAAATCATAGATCCCTTTCACAATTTATAATGTAATTTCTTTCTATGTGGATTGCAAATAGATGAATGGGATATTTAATATGGCTCTAACTTCATGAAACAAGTGATTTTTATACAAGCAATTCACACTAACATTTGGGAGTACAAACAAAAATACAAATGTGATGAAATTCAACATTAAACCCTGGGAAAATCTCTTTTTAAATAATAAAACTAGCATACAGCCCAACAAAAATGATGGGTCAAGTACTACTACTCCAACCACATAGCTTCATTTTATAGCTAACTGGAATAATTCAGTTTTGTAAGATTAAACTTCACCAACAAAATGATAGAAAAGTGTAGCCAAAGTAGTCAAAAATTGATAAGTTCTTTTGTGATCCAATCAAAATTAAGATCATTCACAAAATGAATTTGTGGTTGATTTTTTACTAATAATTATTCTAAGAATACATCAGATTAACAACTTTTAATATATACAAAAAGCCAGTTCATTTTGGTAACACTACATTCCAACAATGGATTTTATGTTCTGTTGCTTAGCAACAAAAGTATAACCTAATATTGTTTAGTCTATGTACTGAAAGTATAACATGAAATGTATACAGAAAACTGAATAAATATTTCTTGATTTCTTAATTTAGAGTCTGTTCATTAAATAGGTTTGTTTATTAAAAATGTTATTGATATAACAGAAAGTAGCTTAATTCAGAAACAATTTAAGTTTATAAATGAATCAATATTTTTACTTTCATTATAAATGTTATGCATTTGGCTCTAGGCTAGGTGATCCCACATTACATCTTTACTTTTAGGCATATTATACCAACACTTACTAGACTTGGTTTCATGGCACACACACACACCCTCAAAGTCCCCTTGCACTCCCATCACTAAAATTGTAATGAGCAGACAATAATCAGACTATTCTATCTGGATAAATGCATTTTGGCTTTTATGACTCCTAATCAAGAATTCAAGTATGATACGACACACATACTGGCTTTTATATAGGTCAGACGGTTGGTTATAGTACTAATCATAACAGTTTCTACTTTTGCCAAGAATATGAAATCTACTTCAAAAACAGTCATTTGACAAATTTTCACACAACTTTTTAATTCATCTGTGAATTTAGTAAGAATAACACTATCTTAATTTAGTCATACAATTTTAAATTACAAACTATACAGCCAAATGTTTTTCCCCACTGTTAACCATGGTTTAAAGATAATTATACAATGTTACCTATAGATTTACTCTTCAACCATGTCATTATCTTAAAGTAATTTGCATCCTTTGAAGTAATTACTTGGTACTGTTCAGAACCATAATGTTTTAATCTTCAAATATCCAAATTGTGAGTAAAAGTTCAGTAGCACTACTGATTGTATAATTTCAGTCTCTTTCAAAGAATCAGAAGCATCTTTACTTATAGCATAGCCTCGTTTTCAGCTTTACCAATTACATTGAACATTGGATTAGTGCTGTTTTAAAATGAATTCCCAATCTTCTGACATTCCAATAGTACACACCCTTACACATAAGGCAGCAGTTGAGAGAAATGGATTCAATCTTTAAACTTGAAAAATATTTTAAATTCTCAATAGAGGTCTAAACATACATTGTTTTAATCTTATTTTCAAAGATAATGTATTGATATACAATATATCAACCAAATTGCAATAACAAAAAAAAAACTTTCAGTTCAATGGCAAATTTTATGATCAGACTGATGAAGTCAGCATGCAGTCTAGCCCGGCATCTGTAATGGCTAATGATTATGTTTTGACAAGAATAATTTACTGGGGTTAAAACAATTTATTTACAATCGCTATGTAGATGACATATTTGTTGTCTCAAACATAAGGATCAATTAGTGAGATGAATTTATAGACAGATTAACATTAAGTTCACCTATGAATGCCAACAATACCCTTGATACAAAGAAGGACATTTTGATGTTGGTTGTTATTAGAAATCCATCTACACCAGATTATACACTCACTCCAATAGGACACTTCATTTCAAAGATTTTGAGAAATGTCTCAAGTCTTGTGCACACAAAATAACCAGTTACAGCATGAGTTACTTAAACTAAAATCCATTTTAAAACTTAACTTCTTCCCAAACAACCTTATACATTTATTTATTAACTGAAAAAGCAGTAGCCATTTTAGCTCATTAAGTAGTATACATTTCTAGTGAGTTCTGGAATATCTCACTGCCAAGCCCCTCAGACTCCAGGCCAGCTTATACATGGATACCATTGCAATAAAAATAGAGAAAAATAGTTCAGCTTGTCAACTGAATTCTAAAGCAATTGAATTGGCCTAAACGAACTTTTGACAAGAAGAAAACTGTATAGTTTAAGATACAACTAGATACATACGTTTACCTTGTTTCAAAGATATACATTATTTTAAAAACAAGTGGAGTGTGATGTTCATTTAGTGTCGACTTAACGCCAACAAGTCAGACACCTATTGTAGAAGAATCCTTAGCCGAATACACCCATATTATTACGTTAATAAAATCAAAAGGTCATTAGCTGTCAGAAAATGCTCCATACAAATGTCAATTCATAATTTACAGATAACAGAAAAACAAATTATGGTTACTGAATAAAGCCCAAAAGGACAAGCTTGTTCATTAATGACATATCCTTATTCAGAATAATAAGAAAAAAAATTAAAGTAATAAGAATGAAATACTTTGGATAGTGACTTTCCCCAATATCAAAGCTACTACTTCAACATCTAGAGTAATATCAACATAATAAGGTAGAGAAATAATTGTTTTTGTGTATTTACTATTTGAATTAAATATTTTCATATTTATTTATTCAGAATATAGTTAAATAATGTTACCAGCTTATGTCCAGAATTCTGTGAAACATTCACAGTAAAACATTTTAAAAAACTTACATACTTACATAAAGTTTACCTGTTGCAATAGTAGTGCTATAAAAGAATGGATCAGAGTTACACTTATATTTGATTATATTTATCAAAATTACTTTCTAACATAACTCACAGAAGACTGTAAGTTGCACCTTTCTCTCATCTTGACCAACTTTGTTTTGTGCCATACATGTATAAGTGCCTGCATCTTCTTTCTTCAAATTTTGTATTGTTATGCTTCCATTAGTTTCATGAACTACAAATCTTTCTTGGGATCCGAGTTTAGTACCATTCTGAAAAAGTTAAATGTTATCAATTATTTCATACAAATTTATAATTAACCATTAACTCTTTCAATACGGGGTCAGTCAATGTGATGACCTCATAACCAATTTGCACTTGTTATAGTTTTCACACTATAACTTTTAAATTAGTAAGCGAATGTTAACAAAATTTGGCAGATTATCAGTAAATGTTACAATGTTTTCATATGCAAAATATTTCTTTGTTAAGTCGTAAGGTTTGTAAAGCAATGTTTCTCATCTTGCCTTTTTTCTTTTCACACCTTGTCTATCTATTATGCAAAGTAATTTTCAATACTTTTATGCATCAGAAAGTTTTGAAGTTTCATATGCAAAATCTTTATAATGTCTGAATAATTGCCAAATGTTCCTTAACAAAAAATACTATTTTATTTGTTATTTTCAGTAATTAATCTCTGAACAGGTTCAGTAGATTTGAAAACAAAAATTATGCCTCTTTCATTCTAGAATTAACACAAATCATAACACAAAAACAAATTTTTAGATTAAATAGCTTAAATCTCATAACATTATACATTTATATATATATTTATTATATTGTCAATTCACCTATGCCTAGCTAACAATACAGAAGTTACAATGACGTGACTCACATGCACTCATGTTACCATATCAAATAACATAAAACTGACCTATGGTCTGTACAAAGTAACTTGTGTTGACTGTGTTTTAGTTGACTAGTATTTTGTAAAATACAGTCACATTTCAATTATTATACATTATATATGTATATAGATTATTGCTATTTTGAAATAAGTTCTTATAAATATTTTTTGTAACATAGAACAGTAAATAAAGAGATAAAGCAAACAATTATCTCTTCTAGTTATGACCTTTGTACTCGGTTGCTGCTTGACGTAGGTTGCTAAGCCTTTAAAAGTTTTGCACATGGAGGATATGAATTTTTCTTTAAGTTTTATACACATATATACATTTGAATAACTAAAAAATCAAATTATTTCACCAATACTATAGAATTCAACTATAATTAAGATGCATTTTACTCTAAACAAAATACGAAATTATGAGCAGACTAAAGATAGAACCTACCTCATTGAAATCTACCTTAAAAAACTATATAGTAGCCAGATTAAAACATTTTCTTATAATCAGTTCTTTGAAAAAGAATACTGACAAGGTTTATAAACTATATATATTTGAATGTCATTACTTTTTTTTCATAATTTTGTGTGCTAACACAGGCACAATAAAGATCTGGCATTATATATTTCATGTTCTGTTACCTAAATAATTACCAATAGGGTCAATCCCATTAGCTTTTTTAAACACAGTTCTCTAAGCTATTTAAGGATCAAACTTCTTGTGGGTCCCTCATGAAATAAATAACTTCTAATGTAAAACCTAAAAAAAAATATTTAATTAGATATACTCATTAACAGGTTGATTTTTAGTTTTTCTCCAAGTAAGTAGCTTGCTTTGATTGGAAGTTAATTTTAGTTGCTACTAATGTTAGTAATTATGCTCTACAGTGAGCCTACAACTATTTTCACAGGATCCTTATAATGACAAATCATACCAAAAACAATTTTTTATGACAAAAAAACACCAATAATATTGCTACTAATCCTGCTAATTATTGTTGAGGCCCTCATGTATTTTACTAGGAAAATTAGTTTTTTTTGTCACAGCTCTATGCATTACGTGAAATTGTAACAGGCAACAACAAAAAATATTCAATAAATGCAAGATGCTGAAAGACAATAGTGAAAAGTATACAGACAGTAGGTATTTTGAGGGTTAAGTTCCTTATGTGCTATATTTAAGAACTGAATTATTATTAGAGCTACTGGATAAATCAGATAAATAACCGGAGATTCTCTAAAGATATTGATTACAAAGTTATAATAAAATTCTTAATCAAACGAGTACATTTTAAGAAGAATGATGCTTGTACGCAATAAAAGCAATATTGTGTTTAGCAGTTAGTGAAAAAATCACAGTAAATGGAACAAACTGTCAAAAGACTTCATATTGGAAAAATTAGTTAACACATTTATATGCCCTTATAAGCCTCGCAGGAAAACTGGTCAACAATGCACGTGTTACTCCAGAATTTTGAATTCCTTTAAGCTTAGAAGTGGCCTGAAGAGGTGTTGAAATTAGGCAAGTTTTGTAATAAGAAATTTTAGATAATTACTTTTATAAAATACTTTGTTTTGTATAAAGTTTGAGGTTGGTTTTGAATCAATTTGATTACAAGAATCTCTTGCATGAAGAAAGATGGCATTGCTTGTTTCCATATTCAACATTTTTTTTGTTTAAAAAAACTTGCACTTCTTTTGGTTCCCCTTCACAACCTTCCTCACAGGATTGGTGTGGTATAAATGCTTTGTTTTCATCTTTAGATTACCTTTAATGATGTTACAATATTTGTATATGATTCTAAAGTTATTATACTTTGATATTTTCTCTAGGGGCCAAATGTTATTGTCATTTCCAATAGAAAGTGTTTTCATATTATCATTGGTCGGTTTTTTTCATCTTTGAAAAATCTCTTTTCTCTAAGATTGTAATTTGTAATGAGAGACTGGAGAAAATGGAGTTATTTCAAGCTTGTTGTGTAGCATATCCTATAGGTTCTAAGACAAAAATGAAATAAGATTCTAACCTGATCATGGTGGCATGAAAAAAGTAAAAATAATTTTTCATTTTATAGTATACAGAGAGGACTGGTGCTATGTTTTTTCTGGTTATCAAAATATCCAAGAAAGGAAGTTTATCATCTTTTTTCCATTCAACTTTATATTTGATAGTGGGGTGAAGGTGATTAAGGTTAAAATTTTCCAAATCATCTCTTTGATTGGCCACTCAGAAAATATATCAACATATTGGAAACAATTTCTGTATGAAAGGAAGTTCTTCAGTTTAAAAATAGTCCATGAAAATGTTGCACACTATTGGAAAAAGTGAATTTCCCATGACTATTACTTTTTTATTGAAATTTCTGACCAAGACAGGTAAAAACATTGTTGTTTACACAGATTTCAATAAGAGAAAGCTAAATATCATTGGAAACTAGCAAAGATATGTTAAATGTGAAAAATTTTGCTTTTAAGAAACAATGGTCTTATCAATTGGCACATTAGTAAATAAGGAATCAACATCAAAACTCAAAATTTTTCCTTTACTTACATTTTTTTTTTCAAATTTGTTTACAGAATCTAAACTGTAATGAGACTGGACATAAATATAGAATAAAACACACAATCTTCATTAAACAATGAAACACAGATTGTGTATGCTTACATTTCATATGCCCAACAATTGCTTCTACTGGTTCTTCTGTATTCAAATGTTCAAGTTCAAACAACAAGTCACACTGTTTAAGTGAAGACAATGTTCCAGACTATCCAAATACCAGGTTCATTAATTTTTAATAAATCTTGCATTTACCCAGACTGACATGTGCTATTTATTGGTCATTCTCATTACAACATAGACGGTCTGTAACCTCAACATATCACCCCAAAAACTGCTGAAGGACAGCTGTTGAAATCCTTACACATCACATTGAATAATGTTTTTCCCAAGGCAATAACAGGTATTTCCCATTTTGAAAACAACAAAGGAACACAGGTTACTGGAAAGATCAATGTAACAATTTTCTGAACCGTGTGTTATGAGAAACCTGTACATATTCAGAACAATGAATAAATCTCGAATATATATAATACTACTGCAAGAAGACAGACACCTAGGGTATATTCAAATATACACTTGAATGTTGTAGATGGTTATAGTGGATTCTTGTAACTATATGAACACAATTTTCAATTATTTATGAGAAATCCTTAGGCCAGAAAATAAAACTTCAATATTTTATAGTAAGGTTATGATAGATTATACTTAGAGAAATTGCAACATTGACATATTTTGAACTATCAAATAGATTATATTTTTCCCACTTTTTAGTTTGCATATTTACTTATATCAATTATTAACAACGAATGAACAGTCAATAAAATAAAATAATGTATTCACACAAATTTCAATTAACTGTATTTTGTAGAAGAGAGAACCTGGATTAGTAAACAAGGCTTAACGTTCCAGTTATTAGCTAACTCTGGCTAATATTCTATTTTGATTTGTATAAAAATAAATGAAAAAAATAAGTAAAATTCATAAGTTATAAGTCTAGTAAGATATGTATAGAAGCTGTACATATCTGATTTATTACATAGAAAGCAGCATTACAGAGAAATGAAATGATTTATCTCTATAATAATAATAATAATAATAATAAATAACGCTATCTTAATCAAGCAAACTTTTTTTTTTAAATATGTTTATGGTTTAACTTTAAAACAGATTTTTCCTCTGTAAATGTGGTGTCATTATACATATGGCCAACTTTCTTACTGGCTCATTCTTCCTAACTTAGCATTTGAATACAAATCTTTATTTACTAGGAAATATTTTACCTTATCAAACCAGTGGTACACAGGTTCCGGATAACCAATATCAGCCTTACAATAGAGTACAATTTCCTCCTTTTCCATTCCTTGAACCTCATTTTGGTAGTCTGTGATGTTAGGAGGAACTGTAAAAAAAAAAAAAAGGTTTCATAATTACAAAAACCTATTATCTATGAGACCATGGACCAAGAAAAATTACTTTGTAAATTTTGATCTTAGCAGTTTAACATTAGAGTATATTCCATAGATGTACACTAACACATATCCAGTGTAAAATTATAAACTTGTCTTATAATAATTAATTTTGATGTTAAACTTTCCATTAGTCATATCCTAAAAGTTAAGCAACATTACACAAAAGTCAAGAAAACAACAATCCAGTATGTATCAATACACAGAACAAAGCAAATGTAATTAACTGTTTTTTACTAAAGTGCACTTGCAAAATGTAACCAATCATAAACATGTTTCTAGCATCTTTCTCGTTCATAAAATTGTTCACACATTCCATTTTATGATCTAATTTAAACCAATAATAAACATGTTTCTAGCATCTTTCTCGTTCATAAAATTGTTCAAACATTCCATTCTATGATCTAATTTAAACCAATCATAAACATGTTTCTAGCATCTTTCTCGTTCATAAAATTGTTCAAACATTCCATTCTATGATCTAATTTAAACCCAAACCATTGATCAGGTGCATAAAATATACAAGTGATATGACCACACTGGACAGATGACTTCCTAACTTATCAGCAACGTATCCAATTCATAATAAGTAAACATAGAATACCTATCATACTTTCTTGGACATAATGCTCCCAGGTAGTCTTTTTGCCAGTGTTCACATATAACCAAAAAATGCTACAAAGTAAATCAATCCAAGAACATTTAAACACTATATGGTTCTAAAATGTAAAACAGAATTCAACAACAACAACAAAAATCAAAACAGCAGTAAAGAGCAACAGTTAACCTCCATAACATTACAATTAAAACTAAATAATGAAGTTGTGAACAAGACATAGAAAATTTGTTTATTCACCAGCATATTATTTACACCATTAGATATCAAACAGTACTACTATACTGACAAAAGAAAGAAACAATTACAAAAATGTATTACACTAATTAATTACCTACTTCATTAGATGCCAGAAAACCAAACACATTAGCAAAATTCTAAGCAAATAAGTTATCAGTACGACGAAGAAAAGTAAAAAAAAAAATATACTAATACTCTAATAAATATAAGCAAAGAACTGAAGTTTCCAAACATTATTACATTTACTACAACTTAAAGGAATACAACAAAATAATTGCACAATATATAGCTTAGTTATTAAAAACACTTATCATTATGATGTGAAAGCAGAGTTAAGTTTCTTAAAACAAGTGGCCATAGATAGAGGATATAAACCTGCTTTTACTGATAGATTGCATCATAAACATATCAATAGATTAAGAATGCTAGTATGTACAAGGTTAGAGGGAAAATGTAAAGTAGATAACTTGAGTTTACCATGTGTTCAAGGCTTATCTACAAGAATAGGCAATATAATGAAAAAATACAATGAATGTAGTGTAATATTCTCTCAGCACTGTAAGTTAAATGGTCTCACGCATACAAAAGATAGAATAGAAAAAAAATCGATAAATGTGGGATTTATAAAATCCATTGTATCTGTGTTCGAGTTCATATTGGCCAATCGTGTAGAAACTATAAATTCAGGATCAAGGAACATAAAAACGAGGTAGAAAAATACAAGTAAAAGAATCGGTATTAGCAGAACATGCGACAGAAACATATTATAGACTGGAATAACACTAAGTTGATAAGAAAGGTAGACTTTACAATTAAATTAAATATCAGAAAAACTATTGAATTTGAAAAAAATATCAGATTAAAAAAGGAATCTGGTCCAGGTCTAGAAATAATAAAGTACTGGATACATGCTTTGTAACTCTGGGTAGTTTAAGCCTAGATGGTATTATTGATATGTAAATGATTATATTGGTATACAAGTCCCACACATGCCTTTATGGTTACTCCTGAAGATGGTGTCGCAGGACACCCAAAACATGTCTTTTTTTAGGGCAAGTCCCCATTTTTAATAACTAGTCATCATGTAATGATTTTAACACTGTATTCCTTTTAATTGTAAATAGATGTTTTACATAATGTCATTTTTAAGTCATTTGTGATTACACTTATTGGAGAGTACCAATACTTTTCAAAATTACACTAGGTCATTGGTTCAGTCTTAAGCCTACAACTGGAGACTAAAATGTACTATGCAATGTAGTAATATGATCAATAAAATTAGATTTAGAAAATACAAAGTCAACTGTAGTCATTATTTATGACTAGTTAAATAGCATTCTTGCAAAGGTAAAAAGGTGATTAATTAGAAGTAAATTATGCAAGTTGTGTTATCACTACTAGCCCATCAAGGATGTCCCTTTCAGCTCCCAACTATAACCACTCCATACTACTTGTGTATTCATCCAATCTGTCCTTAAACTCAGTTAAATGTTCTGCCTCCACCACCCTTAAAAGGCAGCTCATTCCAAAATCCAACCACCCTGTTTGAAATGTAATACTGTCTAAACTACAGCTGATTCCTACACTGCCAAAATTTGAATATTTGACTCCTTGTCCTATTGTTTTCACTGCTAAACACATAAAAGTTTGATAAATCTATATTATCAATACCTTTAATAATCTTAAACACCTCAATCAAATCCCCTCTGACCCTTCTCACCAAAAAAAAAAAACAAGTTTAGAGATTTTAGTCTCTTCATAGGACAATCCCACCAACCCAGGTATCATCCTAATGGCTCTTCTCTGAACCTTCTCCAACAATTCAATGTCCTTCTTGAGGAAGGGAGCCCAAAACTGTACAAAGAACTCTAAATGAACCCTTACAAGTGATCTATACAGTGAAACAATATCCCTTCTCCAACAATTCAATGTCCTTCTTGAGGAAGGGAGCCCAAAACTGTACAAAGTACTCTAAATGAAGCCTTACAAGTGATCTATACAGTGAAACAATATCCCTTCTCCAACAATTCAATGTCCTTCTTGAGGAAGGGAGCCCAAAACTATACAAAGTACTCTAAATGAAGCCTTACAAGTGATCTATACAGTGAAACAATATGTCTTCTCTTATATTCAATATTTCTATAGATGATACCAAAAATCCTATTTGCCCTGTTGCTAGCAACAATACACTGTTTAGATGACTTAAGTGTTTTTTTTTTTCACAACACAGATCTTTTTCTTCAACCACAGTATTTAATGTATTCCCATTTAAATTTTAATAATAATAATTTAAATTGTGAAAACCCACGTGCATCATCCTCAAAGAATGTCAGATTTGTTAAACAAGATTTTCACTTAGTGAAACCATGTTGGTTCTTTGACACTATATCAAACTGCTTTAAATGACTGCATCTTTAATCACACTCTCCAAAACCTTTCCAACTATTGATGTAACACTAACGGGCCTATAACTGCCTGGACAATGTTTTTTACCTCCTTCAAATATTGGACTAACATTAGCCAACTTTAAATCTTCTAATACTCTTCCATTACTCAATGAACTATAAAAAATATTAGCAAGTAGTTCACAAATAAAATCTTTAAGCTCATTTAAAACTCTAGGATAAAAGTTTTCTGGTCCAGGGGACTTATGAATTTTTAGGTTACCCAACTTTTCTCTTTCGATATCAGTAACTATAATCAAGCACACACAGACACAGTATTGCGTCTTTGATTAATAGATTGTTTTCATTTTGTGTTACATATCATCTACAGTATTTACTTGCTTACACTCAGTTTGAAATAAATTCAGTATCACTTTGGGATGTATTCTGTTTATTTTCCTATAATATATAGTAAAACTACATAATACTGAACAAATCAGCTTCACCTGAATATACCATAAATACAGAAAACAACAGTTTTGAGATATTTATAATTATCTAAAAATTTACATCAGTTAAGAAAATTTAAAATGTTTGTTACACAGTGTTGTATCCAGAGCTTTAAATAGTGTCTTTTCACCAAGAGACCACACACGCTGGTTCAGTTACTTTAGAACCCTATTGACAAGACAAATTACTCTATTTCACAACACAAGTGATAAATTTACTTATCACAATTGTATCCAGAGCTTTAAATAATTCTTTTATATCAAAAGTCCACACAGGTTTGTTCAATTACATTAGAACATGATTGACAAGTTACTCTCCTCTATCTCTGTTATAACAATACAAGCTGTGAAACTTACTTTAGAGATCACACATTACAGCTAAATTCACACACAAACTACCTTCACTAGCTTACTTGCACTAACTCAGTCACGTGTGTGTATGTGTGTTTCCCAACTGGGGCCTAGAACGTTCTACACCCTATGAGACATTATGATGTAACAATACTCAATGACAGAACGAGAAAAACATAAGATTCTAGTAACATGATGTAACAATATAAAAATCACTGACTAGTGAACTACACAACGTATGATTTGTATACAGTAACAAACAAACCTGCAATAAAGTATCACTTCTAAAAATACTAAATTTAACACTCATGCTTTAGAACTATCTAATCCATAACTCATTAAATTTAAATGAAACAGTTGTGTATATTTAACACTTAGCCACACACTAACTTATTCCAGTGTTACCATGAAGTGTTGGCTTGTAATTCACTTCTTATAAATATAAAAAATAACATTAGCCTTCCCCCACCTAAATTTTCCTGTAAGTATAATTAAATAATTGTATTTATCTCGTCTTCTAAAATCCATGGCATAAAACTTTTCCCTTGCATCAACATTTATTTAAGTCTTTAATTTTTTCCCCATATTGCTTCAATATTTGTCCCAAATACCACTCCAGTACCTATAAACTTCCTCCGCAGTCTACCTCGTATTCACATAACACATGTAAGAACTAAAAGAGCTAAAATGATTAAGTTCTCACAATTCTGTGTAACTGGTTAGTAACTCCTCAGATCTGCTATTACCTTCAACACCAAAATGTTTATGTAAAAATTAAAAAATGCAAAAGGAAATAATGTATCACATTCATTTCTAAATATATACTCACTAAGAACCTCCAAGATGATATCTTTATGCTCGAATCTTCCAGTTTCTGTGACAATTGCTTGGATACGGTACTTTCCATCATCATCTTCAAGTACCTTAGATATTAAAACTCCACTTTTATCAACTTTGAAACGTGATTCATCCAAATAAGTAGTGTCTATTCCCTCAATCTTTGTCCAAGAAACTTGAGGAGAAGGATTAGCTGAAACAACACACTTCAACTCTCCTGGTTGGTTGACAATCAGAGATTGTTTGTTAAGGCAATCATTCCATGTAATATCATCTGTCAGATCATATAAATCTAATAAATACATAATCTACGGAAATTATATTAAAGTTACAGATTTTATAATTATTATAAAGAAATTGACAGCTATATCAAATGTAAGGTATTGTAGTGATATGAATCAAAGTCAAGGTTCTGTCTTTCTCTCAAACACACACAAATCAAAACTTCCATTAATGTACTACAGGTGATATCAGTGGCAAAACTCTTAACTCCAACATTATTTTAAAAGTACTTTCAATATTTATTAAGAACTTTTAAAGCCAATTGTTTACAATTTCAATGTATAAATTGATCGAGAACAAAATATAATAGTGGTTCATGCAGATTCTAACTGAACAAGAAGTTAGCTTATGATGCTATTTGTCAGCAAGCAGACATCTACACTACTAGCTTGTTAATCATTAAGAAGGGCCATGTAATTTATTTTCTTCATAACAATTATGGGTCAGTTGTACATAGAAAAAAAACACATACATACTTTAGCATATTTTTAAATTTCAGATACTGATTTTCAAAACTGCTTATTTGACCCTACAACTGAAGCAGATCTGAGTGTCAATGTTACCCCTCATTTGAAACCCTAATGAAAGTCCTGATACAAACAATTCCTGCTCTGAATATGGATAACATAAGAACTGGGCAATTACTGAAATTTGATAATCAATTCATTGTCTAACTCATCAATTATGTTAACTGATTATTCTCACAAAAGACAAATAGTTGGGATAAATGAAAACAGTAGTAATCTGAAACATTTATTTCAATAAGTTGCCACACTACTTGATCACACTGAACAATTCTAAATCAAAATTAAACAAAAGAAAAGATGAAAAATCATAATATATTTATGTTATTTGGATAGCTAGAATAATCAGAACACTAATTTCTATTAAGAGATTATTTTTGTGAAATTAGATGATTTTTTATGGTAGTGCAAAAATTAAATTATTATATACTCACGAAAGAAATTTATTTCAACTCCACTTTCTAAAATTTTGGTGTCATTATAAGTAGCTCTACAAGTATACTGGCCCGCGTATTCTGTTTTAGGATTCACAACCACAAGTGACAGTATGCTGTTCTTTATCTTATGAACTTCAACTTCCTGGTAACTTCCACTGTATCAAAAAAAGAGAAACACAAGATTAATATACTAGTGTGGTATATCCAGGTAAAATTAATTAATTTTGAGAGCTATATTAGATAGGTCTACTAGATAAAGCTTCACTTAAGATATTGATTATGGAGTGTTACTAAGTCTTCTAAATGAGTCAATGTAAAGTAAGGTAATAAGAACAGACACAAAGTGAAATACAAAATGAAAAATCTTTATTAAACACTAAATATAAATGCTGTATGTACTTACTATTACTTGTATGGCACAATTACCTATATTGGATCATAGGAATGACTACTAAATACCAAATTCCAGATTATACTAACTAAATGATGTTTCACACAAGACTGACAAAATAGAATGTCCCTTAGTTCCTAAGAAACCTTGCATTTACCTAGGGTGACTTGTACTACCCACATGACTGGTCATTCTTAATACAATATAGGCTGAGTTGTAATTTCTTGATATCATAACAACATGAACAACCATTGAAAAACACTGCTGTCAATGTTCTTGCAAAATGTGTCATAATAGGCAATACTCTATCCAGGTGGTAACAGGTATCCATTTACAAAGGGAACAAAGATAGCTTATGAATGAAATCAATTTAATGGCTTTCTTTAACACTTATTACATGAAAACTACATATATACATAAAGATGTTAAGTTCAGAATAAATAAGGTGATGTTACAAGAAGATAGAAATGCATGGTATATTCACACACAACACTGAAGAAGTGTAGGTTAATGGAAGGAATTTAATATACATATGTATATCACTCAGTATCTAAAAATTAAAATTCAGCACTTGTAATACGAAAATGCTACAAATGATTATTTCTTGAAGTTAAAACAACACTAAATACGTTTTAAAAATTCATTTATGATATTTGTCCGCATTTTATTTTACCAATAGAACAATGTTTTTGTTTAAACTATTTAAAAACAAATTACTAGATAAGTGTAACTGATAAAACAGTGGTAATCACACACAAAAAATAGTTCCCAGGCTGAAAACAATTTGGTGAATGCTAGTGAATTACAAAGTTGGTAGAAAATTGTTTACTGCCACTCACCAAAACAATGCATGTTCATTTGAATTGTTCATGTAACTTAACTTTAAGTGACACATAGGTCAGTGTATATTTTAAACAACATTACTGCTATTAATTGAAGAAGAAAAAAAAACACCATTCATATCTCACAAAATCATGCATATACATGATGCTCAGACCCAACTTAACTTTAGCATGGCATTAATGTAGTGAAAATAAGCAGCTTAGAGACTTGCCAAAAAGAAAGACTGTCTTCAAGGATATACACTCATAATATTAACTACTTTATCACTAATGTAAGACAGTTTATTAAATATTTGATACACATATTCCTCATTAGAACCTTAATTCATAGTCAGCAAAAAAATATGGAACATTACGATAATTGTGTGAAATGGGTAAATTACATTTAGAGTTCCAAAAAGAAATTAATCAAACTTGTTAAAGTGTATCTAGCCACAATTATAGTACTTGCTAGTGTCAATATCTTCAAAGCAGTAGTTATATCAATAATTTCTTGCTCATTCATTCAAGTTGTCAAATTAAATGAACAAAAACTAGCAAACACCATCTGCCACAAATTACTTTGAACCTCCCTACATTACAAACTTTTTATTGTACTTATATCACAACACAGTGAACAAGAAAGAAAGGATCCCAAAGTCAGACTAATGATATTAGTTCATTACATGTTCTTACAGTATTGTTTATAAGCTTCAGTTCATACAAGTTAATTAACTGTGATAAAAAAAAAAAAAAACTTAAACTTCAGCAATCTTAAAATGTTTTTCATACAAAATACTTTTCACAAAACTTTTTTTTAATTGAAAGAGTTATTCAATATCTTGCTCTACAACAACAGAACCAAACTCCATATTCAAACATATTTCAAATCCTTAAAAATATATCTGCTGTAATTTAATAAACTTCTGATGTTCAGCTCAGATTAAACTTTGTATCTCCAAGACATCAGGTCATAAGATCAAAAATGATCATCATACTCTAAAAACCAATTTTTGTAATCCACACAAAATAAAGCAGTTTAGTTGCCAACATTTTTGGCAAAAAAAGAAAGTAAGCCTAACATCTCAAAGTGTGTGTAAACAAAAACATCATTAACTACAATATTTGAGATGTGCGTAAACTGAACAATCTAATTTCATAAACCAGTCTAGCTAGTACTTCTATCTATGCAAAATGTGTTGTAAACAGCTAAAGATGTATTGCATTACAAATACAAAATGATAAACTTTTGATCAAAGTTTAAAAGGGCACCCTAGCTTAAATATTGCAAATACTAAAATATCTTTCATTTACCAAGGATGAATCTGTTGTCTTTCAGCAACGAAATACTATTTTGTTGCTGTAAATAACTGTCTTTAAACATTATGTGCCCCCAAGTACTCATTTGTAGTATTTAGAAACTAATGAAAAAAAATTTCTCACCCTTTACCAAGCACTTCTCCATTTGGAGCTTCCCATCTCATATCTGAGAATAAGGTGTTATCATAACTTTCACCCGTACACGTGAGAACAAAGGCCTCTCCGGCTGGTCGTGTTTGGCTACTTCCCGCAGGTTGAATAGAAAGTTTCGGCCTATCATTAGGATTCTGGGCAAAACAACCTAAAAAAATCAATGGGTATGTTTTATGAAATGTGCCAGTCCACAACAACTAATTCCTTTTCTTTAAACAAACAATTATATTTTCACTACCGAAGAATATACAGTATAAAATCTGGGATTATAAAATTGAGTTGAACACTGAAAACTTCTAATAATGCTTTTTATAAAGACTTGTTCATATTTCATGCTCTGGTTCCTTTTGCCAAAAGATGGGAGAAAACCAAAAACTTTCTAAACTGCAACCCCCCCCCCCCCCCCCCCCCCCCC